TGGGAGAAGTTTTTCGAAAAAGTAATGCGAAGAAAACAAATTTTTCTGGACTTTTGGACTTTGGAAATCTGACATGCTTCTTGTTTTTCGAAAAGATTTGTCTATTTGTGCCTTGGGAGCGAATTTCCTCTTTAAAAGCCTTTTTTGCTAAAGTTTTTGGGGAACCGCAGTCTTTGATGTTCAACTGCGGTTTCCTGAAATTCTTAGAAAAATTTTGAACACGTGGGCTTGAGTCATCCGAACTTGAAGATTCAGGGGTTTGAGGAGCATTACTTGACTACTTCAAAGTTTTCTATGGGTTAATTCATGATGAATTGGCTGAAGAGTCACATTTTCTTTTTACTGATGACTGCGGTAGTGATGATTTGATACTGCAGAGTAAGTCTGAGTTGGGACTTCAGTGGGACTTTTGTGGGACTTTTGATTACAGTGTGAGACACTGCGGTCTGAGGGCAAAGATGGAAAGTCTTTCGAGACTTCAGGGTCCTCTATGACAATTTCTTCATCAACTACAGATGAGGTTTGAGAATTTCGGTAAATGGTGCCACATATAGGAATTTGATCACTTGTGTGACCCGAAACCTCATGCACAATTTCCTCAATGACACAATTATTGCTTAGATTATGAAGTCTACCGAAGTGAATTTTGATATCTTCGGGAAAGGTCTTGTCATTGACTAGGAAATGAAATTCTCGGTCTTGAGGGACATACAGTCTGTCTTTGTTGAACCGGGGTGAGGAATCCATTGTGGTAGGATATCCATTTGACCAACCCCAATTGTATGTATTGTCCACGGTTCCACTATTTACCAAATTTTCAATAGCTTCACTTTCATTGAACAATTTTTCGATTTAAGATTTAAGCGTACAATTTCACTCTGAGTTAAATCTCTCTGGTTCAAAGCTATCTCTAATTGTGTTTCACTCAACATTCTTGCATCTTTTTCTAACTCTAAGTCCTTTTCTAACATAGCCATTTTGAGTCTTTTGTTATCCAGTCGTCCTCTCACATGGAACATCTCGTGGGACGCAATCTTCTTCTCATCTAAGGCTTTGTTATAGTCTGTAAGGACGGCAACACATGTGTCATTAAGATCATCTATGTAAGGTTGACAGTCATGCATGCTATAGTTTAGAGTTCGGATCATGAGTTTTACCTGTTCGACGATGCTTAGAGTTCCATCCTTTGCCATGTAGCAGTAGTTCTTGTCCAGCTTTGTAGACCCATCATCATCCGCAGTTGCCAGGCATGCAGATTTTCCTTTTCCTTTGACACTGTGATGGCTTCATCTTCATCGCCGGATGACCAAACTTGATGGTCTCTTTTGACATGGGATACGTATGCCCTTGTCTTTTTCTTATCTTCCAACTCTTGAGCCATTCTAAGGTAGAATGCTCTGTCTTTTACTACATTGGCCTTACAATCTCTTGCAAAATGATTCTCCTTGTTGCACTTGTGGCAAATCACAACATCAGTTTTGTCTTCTGAGGGAGTACCGGAGTCAGGGGTTTGAGTAGACTGCGGTGCTTCCTATTTTGAGATTGCGGTGGTGGATGAGAACTTTTGGGATATCGAGTATGGTTATTATTTGTGGATGAAGTTACGGTTGAATGGAGGTTTGTTGAACTGTTGATTCTTGCGGAAGGAAGGAGGTGGTAAGCGGTTGAACTGTTGGCTAACCAGAGCAATAGCCTTCTTAAATTCTTCTTCATCATCATACTCAGAATCCGCTTCGTATGACTGCGGTGGAGTGTCATACGAGGGAGAGTAAGATTGATTATGTGGAGCTTGTGCTATGAGAGCAAGTGGTCCTCCGAAGTCAGCATAGTCTTTGAGTACGGTGGATTCTTGTGCTTGGAGTTCTCCATAGAGCTTGTAGAGTGACAAAGAGTGAATCTTCCTATCGCCTTGGACTATCATCTTAGTCGTAGTCCAATGTCTTCCCAAACCATTTAGAAACTGAAGATTTGTTTCATGGTTACTATGGATGGTGCCCGCATTGGATAACTTGGTGACTATCAGGTTCAACCTTTTGAAGGAGTCTTCCAAACGTTCGCCAGTATGAGCTTTGAAGTTGTTGAATTCATTCAGTGCGGTTGTAAGCTTCTTGTCTTGTGCTTGTTCTGGGCCTTCATACAGATTCTTGAGAACTTCCTAGATCTGTTTTGCTGATTTGCAATTTATGATAATATCGAAGTTGTCAGGAGATTTCATAAAAAGCAACAACATCATTTTCGATTTTATCGAGATCATCCTAGGTGGGACGGTTCATGACTGGTTGACCTCCTCCTAGTCTGGTTGTAGCGATGTCAGTTTGGACTGGTGTAAGAACTGGGACATGTGGTCCTTCTTCTCTGGATCACCATACGTCTCTACCAAGTCTCCTTAAGTATCTTTCCATTCTCTGGGACCAATGATGATATTCATTTGCAACCAATATTGGAGCTCGATTAGAACCACCAACACTGTTGGAAACATTCAGAGATAACGATTGTGCCATATTTCCTTGTTTTTTTTTTGAAGTTTTTTTTTTGTTTTAAGAAATGAGCTTCAGTGGCATAAAAGGCCCTTTGAAAATCAGAGTTCCGTTTTTCAAAAAGCAACCACTATGCCTCTGATACCAATTGTTGAGAGAAAAACTTTGAGACACACTTGAACAAATGTTAGAACAAGTATATTGCGGAATAGTTAATCTCGAAGGATCTGAAAGCTCAACAATAATTATTTAGAGTTAGATAGTTAGAGAGTTAGTTGCGGAAAAGTAAAGAAATGGAAATGACAACAATTGTTATATCAAGTATACACATAAGTTGATTCATAGCGAGGAATGCATTCAAGCCAAGTTAACAAGTGAGATCAAACTTAGTGATTAAGTCACAAAAGACTTGCTCCGAAGAGAGAGTGTAATCAGTTATATTCTAGTAGATTTTTGGAGTAAGAAGAGCGAAGGAGATGCGTTAAGATAGAGAGTTAGAAAAGATAACTTCAGAAATGTATTCAGATTCAGATCAGATCGTATCGATAGATAATTAAAAGATAAGTGAGAATGAGCTCTATGTATAAAGACTCAAGAAGTTACATTTGAATCACTCTCTAAGAGTAGCGATGCAAGGCATAGTGGACAATAGAGAGTGTTACAGAAAGACAAATACACTAAGTAAAGTAAGAATGACTGCGGTTGACTAGATGACTTCGGATGCGGTTGCTGATGAGAGAGCTTGACTGCGGTAGCTTATTGGATGCGGTAGCTGAAGTTCAAGAGGGTCACTGATGATTGAGAGACACACTTGACTGCGGTAGCTTATTGGATGCGGTAGCTGAAGTTCAAGAGGGTCACTTTTAATGATTCAACACACGATTTAAGCAAATAAAAATATAAATAAGACTGCTTTATTGCACTAACAGGTAGTACAGGTAAGCAGGGTCGAATCCTCAGGGACACGTCCTAAAGTCTTTGCCTCTTTGCGTAAGGCATGAACTAATTATTGAAAAGTGAATAAAACATATAAAGGGGGGGGGGGTATTTCTAAAAATATAAACTAATGAAAATCGAAAATCATAAAAGGATAACTCGATTTAAAGGTTGGAAAATTCAATAAAGAGAAAACAATTACAGTTCCGCGGTGACTCCCCTAATCATGTAATTAACCTTCAACACAATATTTGATTGTACACTTGTTTAAACTGGTACTAAAGTTCATTAACAAGCTCTAATGACCTCTATTACAAAAATTATTTAATTAAAATAAGTTCTTTGAATTAAACCTAACTTTAACCAAGTGTACCAAAGAAGCTCTAGATTAACAGAGAAAAGTTGCATTAGACACAGTGTAATTTCCCAGTAAAGTCCAATACCTCTCATGAGCTCGGAGGCATAAAAACTTGTTTGCTCATCTGATATTGGAGTCCTAAACACAGAATTAATCCAATACTTTGTTACTTTTTACTATTGTTGTAATAGAATCGAGTATGAATTATGAGACCAGAGTAAAGTAAAAATGATGAACACGAGATCTAAATAAAGTCTATTTGGCTCAATTACGCTTTCAGTAAGTACAAAGAGTATTAGACAAAATGACGAAAGTTCTTATCTATCTCTAGTACACATCCCATATTTATAGGGATCATGAAATCATACAAAAAAATAGAAGGGACTGAAAACTGAATACTTCGATACATAAAGTGCCCTTATAATAAAATAACAAAATTTCGAAACTATCCATGACCTTCGACACCTCACAACAATATTCGACACCTACATTCTCCCCCTTTGTGAGAAGTGACGAATCAGGTCATCAACATCTGGATAGCTTGGTGCATAGATCTTCGAACTTCAGTATACCAAGACATCACTTTCTTCAGCTCTTCCTTATCTCCATCATTATTCTTTTTTGCAACTATTCATACGAACAAGCAAGTTCTTATAATGAGCTGTAGTATACCATTCCACATCACAAGCTTGGAACAAAAACTTCATATTCTTACCCTTATTGCTTTTTCCAACGAATACTATCCCAAGAGGCTTCAAGCATATCTCTCCATCAACATAAGGCTTTAAATCAGCTTGACTCTTTAACAATGACTGAGGCACAGTAATTTCGTTTCCCATTGCCAAAGCCAATTCAACATCAGTAAAAGCTAAGCATTCATAATAGTTGTCGATGAAAAGCTTGATGTGTGCAAGACCCAGCAAATAATGAAGGTTCTTAAGAGACAATTAAAGTATGATGTTTTGGATCTTGGAAAAAGAAAATTAAGAACTTTTTTTGGTTAAAGGGTGTAATTTTGTGATATATCAAAGACTGGTAAAAATTGTTGAAACCAATGATGCTCCTTATGCAGACTATATTTTGCAAATGATGGATGCGAAATTGAAACCAATTATTTCCAAGTTGGATGCTATATATAATGTTATGAGTGGCAGGGCTACTTCACAACAAGGGGGAGAAGGTGGAATGTTTCCGGAGGCCAACATTAACAATCCTTACTAACTGGTGCAATGGAGAAGAATAATGAGAAGTTTCATTTGGAAAAGCGAACTCTGGAACAAAAGTTGAAGGGTTTGAAAGAAAAGAAATCTGGACAAAATGGTAATGTAGCTTTTGGTTCAGGAAAAGGAAATGTGAAAATTGTTCCAGAAAAGGAGTATGATCTGAAACTAAAATTGTCTAAAGAACAACTGGTTGAACAAGCAAAACGTGATATTATGTTTGATGAACTCCATGCCTTGAATACAAAGATAATTAATGAGGAAGTTGAACAAAAGAATGTTGAATCAATTTTGGCTGGCAAGAAAGCAATGTTTCCATAATTGACTCTTGAAAGGATGGAAAATGAAGCAATCTATTATCCGAACATTTATTTGTGGGAACCTCAAGCTTCATTTTCTAGTGAGAATGAATTAGAGTGTCAAATGGAACTGCCAATTACTGCAAAAGCTTTTCACTTTCGTTCTTTTCAGATTATTCAAAAGGTCCCAATGGCGAACAAAACTGTCAACAAGAAATTATTCAATTTTTATGTGAAGAATTCAAAACCTCAGTACGATTCTTGGAGATTGAAGAAGATTGTAGGCTTGAAGGTTGGGAAGACTGTTGGTGCTGAAATTTTTTCAAATGTCCATTTCAAGGCAGTTCGGGGACATAATCATGAAGTTCAAGAATTTACTTTGGATGATCTTTTTAAGATAAATCAATTTTATTGGATTTCAATTCTTAACATTGTTTTGAATCATGCTGCAAAGTACGAACCTATTTGCTCACATATGAAAAGATTGATCAAGGCATACATCATTGAAATCTCAAACTAGAGGTTTCTTCTGTTTTTAAAAAGGAGACCAATTCTGAAAGCATTTGAAGCTTCGATTGATATTGAAAGTATGAAAGTTTTTTTTATTGAAAATGAGAAATGGGGAGTTGTGTTCAAGACAAAGGATAATGATGTTGTGAAGAAGTGTATGTTCTATCTGAGAGATAAGCATTGTATTCATCTGTTGCTTGGAATCAAATCTTGTCTAATACTGAAAAGTTTAAATCGAATTCAACAGAAAATGAAGTTGAAGGTTCCAACCAGTAAATGTTTAGATAATTGATTGCTTCATTCCCATACCTTTCAAGAGTCCATTCTGGAAATATTGCTTTCTTGTCTAGCAAAATTGATTCAACATTGTTTTGTCCAGCTTTCTCAATAATTATCTTTGCATTCAAGGCATGGAGTTCATCAAGCATAGCATCACGTTTTGCTTGTTCATCCGGTTGTTCTTTAGACAATTTTGGATTCAGATCATCCTCATTTTCTGAAACAATTTTCACATTTCCTTTTCCTGAACCAAAAGCTACATTACCCTTTTGTCCATTTTTTTTCTTTAATACCCTTCAACTTATATATATATATATATATATATATATATATAGAGAGAGAGAGAGAGAGAGAGAGAGAGAAAGAGAGAGAGAGAGAGAGAGAGAGAGAGAGAAAGTTCAATAGAGAATCATTATTAATTAAAGAACTAAAGAACATATCCAAAGCATCGAAATTCAAAATGATCGACAACCAAAGGAAATGTTGTAGATAGGTATATTGGACATGCATGCATCAAATTATACCAAAACCCACTTCATTTTTTTAGTTTTATTTTTCTGAATCGTATTTTTTGTCAGAAAAAAAAACAGAATATACCATTGTTCACAATTTTTCGTCCTCTTCAAATAGAGATTCATATTGATATATATAAAAAGTGAACCTTTTTTTCACAAAAAAAAAAAAAACCACTTCATTTTGTTTGTTTTTTGAAAAGTTCAAATATATTTGTTATCGAAAAAATTAATACATATATCAAATTCAAATATTCTTCCATACTCTTTAAATATAGATTCATATTGATGTAAAAACAATTGTTTTTTCGAAATTTTAGTTCAGATTCGTATTGTGAATCAATTGTTAAAAACTGAATTATTTTAAGTTAAAATTCACAGTGTGAATAATTATAAGTCAGATCCATATTGTGAATCCTTCAAACTGAAATATATAAATCAGATTCAGAATGTGAATAAATTCGCTTGAGAATTTTAGAACATTAATTTTTGAAAAAATCTCACCTTTTTGTTGTTGGGTTTTAACATTTATGTTTAATTTTTAATCAAAAAATAAAATAAATATATAAATAGTCATAGCTTTTGTACTCTTGAAATTGAAATTCATAATAAAGTATAATTGGTTTTCTGAAACTAGCTGTTAAACCGTTGTCGCGTACGATTTATGCAAATCAATTTCACTGCTCGAATGAACTAAAAGATAACACAGGGAAGCATGGTCGAATCTATAGGGAGACAACCTAACATTAAATGCCTTTTTGCGTAAGGCACATACTAGTCATAAAATAGAAAATATGAAAAAAATGAATTTCTGATTATTAGTTAAAACTAAAAATAGCAGTGAAATAAACTAAAAAAAATCAATAAATGAAAACGAATTCAGTTCTGTTGCGACTTTCCTAATCCTGAAATAATTCTTGACCTGGTTATTCACAATGTGTTCAATTTAAGCTGGTACTGAGAAAAACTAACAGACTCTAGTACATTCTCTTTTACCTAATTAGTTAACCAAAACAAACTCTTCAATTAACCCTAACTCTTTACTGATCTAATTAAACAAACTCTTAAATAAATTCAGAAAAGTTACATTAAGATATGTGTAAAATTCCCAGCAATATCCAATACTCCTTACAAGCTCGGAAGCATAAAGATATGAAATTTCACTTTATAATAAAGTCAAATCCAAGCATAGAACCAATTTATTACTTGTTACTTATTAGAAGATTGTCAAAACAATTATGGATTTTAACAACTTATTAAGTGGAATGATTAAACCCTAGCTAGATGATCAGACTAACAAGAATCAAAATCAAACATTCATTAAGCGTAAACCTGAAATTACTAAATAGAATCACACAATGAAAACCAAATCTGATGTTTGATCACATGAAAAGTACTAGTCTTTTGCAGATCTGAAAACCAGGGTTTAGCCAGACATACCTAAAATCTGATCTAAAACAGTAAAACGAAACATTAAATAGCTCAATCTTACTAAAATTAATGTATGAGATGATCCACAACCTTCAGATCTTCAGAAAGTGATGAAAAGTGCAGAAAATCTCCTTTAGAAAGGTTTTTCGTCGTCTGGGAGTGTCTCCAATCGTCTAGGCTTCAAACTGATTAGAGAGGAGTTATTTATATGCAAGCTAGTAACTTTTGGAGCAAAAAAGACAAAAATTCGATCGAATTTTATTAAAACACGATCGAATTCTTTCCCGCCTTTGATCGAATTTGGCATTTAATTGATTTTTGGGATTTCTAAAGTTTAAACACCTAACGGATAACGCGATCGAATTTACGGGAAAAATTTAATCGAATCTTTTTTAATTTTTCTTTAAACTTAATTTGAAAAATGATAACCAAACTTCGATGGATCAATTCGATCGAAGTTATGAAGGAACACAATCAGATTTCCTATATTTCGCGTGAAATGTTTGTTTTTTTCCTTGACCGAAACAACTTTCAAGCATTCCTCAACATCCTTCATAAGTTCAAGCTCCAATTAAGCTCCAACGCTCCATTAAACTCATCTAAAGCTGCTCCAAAAAAGTACTGCTCCACTCCAATTATCTGAAATGACATTAAAACTTGATCAGTACGAGAATTCCGACGAAAGACATGAGCTGAACAAAATTTAAAATAATGACATGCAAATGTGAAAAAATATGACGCTAAATGTTAATAAAAATTATCGTAAAAGAGGCATAAAATGACATCTATCATTTCTCCCAAGTTTGAACATTATAACCAATATGCAAAGATGTAGATGACTTAAGAAAAATTTAGAATAAAAATTAAAAGAAAATTAAGGAAACTAAAACTTGAACTTTAAACTTAAAAACACTTCACTCTTTTTCTTTTCTAATTTTCTTTTCTTTTTTTTCTCACATGATCAGACCTTATATCGAGGAAGCTCCAATGAAATCACTACTATGAAACTATCACACCACCTTTCATCTTTCATAGACTCCCAAATTAAGGAAGAAGCTTGACGGTGTGAACCAATAAACCAACTGCCACTTTTATTTGAACTTTATACCTTAATTAGGCTTGCTCGGGTGGATAGCATGTTTCTGAATTTTACGTCCTTAAGACTAAATAATTAAGAACTAGACTCGACTTATCCTTAAGAACCCGTCACGTCTAATCAGCGGTCTAAAGCAGTGGGTCCACCTGTAAGGGCTCAACTGCTATGCTTTCACATTTCCGTGACGTCAGATTTGACTTTGAGGCGACCTCTGGATTGATTGAATTTGATTCTTTGTACTTTTGCCTTCAACTTTGAGTTCTTCAATCGTCTTTTTGAATTTCTTGATATTTCTTTGATTAAGTACTTAACCTTTAACTTGGTACCGAATATGACAGTTCGTAACCTTCTTTTCTTTGTGACTTTGTGGATCTGATATAAAGCTCTCTGTTACCGAGAAGGTAACGCGTGTCAACAAATAGGTCTGTGTTCTCTGGGTCCAGACTTGTCAGGCAAGGTTCTTGTTAAACATTCAAAAGCAATTAGTTTTGAACATGTTTTATCCCAGCTAATGTAGTGTTTCAGTATACAATTCTTTTTATTTTCTAAAATCACCATCTCGACTCATGGTGTTTTGTAACCCCTAATTATGAAAATTATTACTGAACCTACCACTATTGATTCGGTTGCTTCGGACATTCCTTTTTCATTTTACAGAACTATCAAATGCAAGAATTTCATCATATCATGTAACTTTTTCCAAATACTTTTTTTTCAATCTTTTTTATGCAAAAAAACTAGTAAAATAACTAAACATAAAATATTTTTGGGTTTTTTTCTAGTTTTTGTATAATGTGGAAAAATAAATAAAAACACAAACATAAAATATTTTTGGACTTTTCGAATTTTTATGCAAATGTATTGCAAAAAATAAAATGTAAAAAGGAAATTGAAAATTTTAACAGAAAAACTGAAAATTTTAATTTTTTATTTAAAAATGAAAATTTTTACACTAACCCCCTCCCCAAGCATAAAATGATGTGTTGTCCTGAATTCTTAGAGATGAATGAACAATACAATAAACCATAAAAACGGAAAAAAGGTTGCAACTAGGAAAGAATATACCTGATAAGTTGAAGAAAATTCTAATTTTGACGAAAATGTTGGCGAAGAATCTGATTTTCAGAAACTTAGAAGATCATTTACTTTCCCCAAGCTTGTTTGGAGTTGTGACCATCTCGTTATTTAAGTAGA